GCAGGCTCCCCATGGAGCAGGGAGCCCAATGCGGGGCTCGATCCTAGGACCCTGGGATCATGACGTGAGCTGAAGGCTGACATTTAACTGACTGAGTCACCCAGGGAACCCCCAAATATACACCTCTTAAATCTCTTTTAATCTATATGGTCTTCCCCTAATACCCTCCCTCCTTTTTTCCTGCATTGAGAGTGCATTTATTGAAGAAAATGGGTCATTTTTCTTGTAGAGTTTTCCAAAATCTAGTCTTTTCCAACTGCTTCCTATGATGCAGTTTAACATGTTCCACTGTCCTCTATAATTCCTGTGAATCAGAAGTTGAATCTAGAAGCCTGATCAGATTCAGGTTTATTTTGGCAAAACTTTTCATGAGTGGTTATGAGTACTTCCGTCTGGAGGCACATACTATTCAGCTGTCTCTCTTTAGTGATGTCTGCTGCCACCAACATCATGTTTCAATTCATTAGGGGTTGCAAAATGCTGATGTTTTAATTATTTCTCTTCTTCATTTATTAGCTGGAATACCAGGGTTTTGTTTGTTTAGAGAGACGTGTTTAATTGTAAAGTTTGGCACACTCCAGCACCAGGTATGGCCTTAAGTCAAAGCAGCAGGATTTGAATACTATGCAGCGACTCCCATGCAGCCTTACACGGCGAAGAGGATGAAAAAGGCGACCATCAAACAGAAGAGCCCCATGGCCTCAGACAGGGCAAAGCCCAGAATGGCAAACGAGAGCTGCTGCTTGAGACAGATTCCTGGCACAGTCAATAATCAAGCTGCCAAACATTGTTCCAATGCCAGCCCCCCTGAACGAGCCACACCAGCTGTGGCAGCCCCAGGAGACACCACCAGTCTGGAACGTGCGTCAGGCCATCTGGCATGGGGAACTGCTGCAGGATGGCTGTTTAGATGGGATCTCTGGCCTACTCAAGGAGGCAGACATAGGCCTGATTAGACCCCCTGGTACAACAGTGGACGAGAGCTGGAAGGATGAGTACTGTCCCAGGGGTCTGCATTTTCAGTCTGCACTCCCACTGCCCCTGCTCCAGCCACAGTGCTTGCTCTGCTCAAGGTGACTGGAATACCAGATTCGTTTTTTTTTTAAATTTTATTTATTTATTTGAGAGAGAGAGAGAGCACATGAGCAGGGGGAGAGGGACAGAGAAAGAATCTCAAGCAGACTCTGTGCTGAGACTGTGACCTGAGCCAAAACCCAGAATCAGACACTTAACCAACTGAACCATCCAGGCACCCCTGGATATTTTTTTCAAGGTAATGTAAAAACTTATTGCAAAGCTACACTGAAGCCTGTAAAATGTTGGCTCACGTTGAATTGAAAATAACGAAATACAGGTGTGATACTAGGTCCAACTTCACTAGATCCAAATTCCTATTAAGTCTCTACTTCCTATGCCTTGGGAGGTTTCCATTTTCTGCACTGAACCCTCTGATACAGATGCACTAAAAGGACACCCACAGCCCCACGAACCAGCAGATGGCTGCAAGTGGCAGTGTCCTCACTCATAAAACAGGGGTCATAACAAAATCTATGGCTTGAGTTGTTAGAAGGCCAGAGAATAGGCAGGTAAGGTGCTCAGCGGGGTAGCTTCAGAGTAGTTTTATAGCCTGCAGCTATACCCTAAGGGGGAGTGAGGAAGAAAGTCCTGTACTCAACTGAAAGAGGAGAGGTGGATGAGAAATGGTCTTGTAGCAGTCTCCTGCAAAAGAGATGGATGAGAAACTGCCTCACAGCAGCTCTTTACAAGACCGTCCGTCTCCCTTTGTTTCGGAAGGAATCCCCAGGCCTTCTGCCAAAGTTCGGGCCAGACCACAGCTAAGTTTTCCCTACGTGGCTTATGGGGAGATGTGTAAGGCTGTCACGGTGCCATGGAAGAACCATTCATCCTAGAGGCCCCCCTCCCCCCCACAGGTCACTTGCCAATGACGAGAAGGGAAAACATCTTTCTGGAGGAGATAGCTGGTGGCCATCCCCGTTCCCAGGGATCTGACTTGGCCATCACTATTGGGGCAACCTGGCATCAGGTACCTCCTGACAGGAAGCAATAAGGAAGATACACAAGAAAGATTCTTATAAAAAGTACTTCACCTGTACCTAATCAGGCCTTTAGAGCAAACTTCCAGTTTTTAAGAACTACAGATCGGGACACCTGGGTGGCTTAGTTGGTTAAGCGTCTGCCTTCGGCTCAGGTCATAATCCCAGGGGGTCCTGGGGTTGAGTCCAGCATCAGGCTCCTTGCTCAGCAGGGAGCCTGCTTCTCCCTCTGCCTGCCACTACCCCTGCTGTGCACTCATTCTTGCTCTCTCAAATAAATAAATAAATAAATAAAATCTTAGAAAAAACAAAACACACACTACAGAAGATGGCAGAAGCAGCTAAATGACACCATGAGAAAGCAATTAGGCAAATCCGGAGTGGGGGATACTCTACAGGACAGTTGTTGGCCTGGCCTCTTAAAAAAACCCATCTTCTAAGAGCAGGTGGAGCAGGGAGGCTACTGTAGAATTTAAGAAACACTAGAGACCTAAAAAACCAAAGCAGAACTTGAACCTTGATTGGATCCTGGTACAAAACACAGCCAACAGTATAGAAGACTTTTGGGGTACAATTTGGGAAATCTGAGTATCAGACATTAGGGAATTAATGTCAGTCTTTCTTAGAAGTGATAATGGTATGAAGGAACATGTCATTTTTCAGAGATACAGACTTAAGTATTTAGGAGTGAAGTGTCTAGATGTTTGGAAACTACAGTTGACTCTTGAATGAGACATGTTTGAATTGCATGGGTCCACTTACCCACAGATGTTTCCCAATCCACACACATGCAGTGCTGTAAATGTATTTTCTCTTATGATTTTAATAACATTTTCTTTACTCTAGCTTACCTTATTGTAAGAACAGTATATAATACATATAACATAGAAAATAACCGAGTGTTAATCAACTGTTATCAGTAAGGCTTCCACTCAGCAGAAGCTACTAGTGGTTAAGTCTGTGGGGAGCCAAGTTATATGCGGATTTTTTTAAATACATGGATGGTTGGCACCCCTAACCCTCACTCTGCTCGAGGGCCAACTGTACTTTTAAATGGTTTAGTAAAAAATACATGTACACACCAAGTAAATATGACACAATATTAACAATTGTTAAACCGAGGTGGTAGGCTAACAGCAATTGTACTCATTGTCCAGTTTTTCTGAAAGCTTGAGATTTTCCATAATAAAATGCTGTAAGAGGGAACGTGCATTTTTAAAAATCCCTGCCCTCACAGAAATTACCTTCTGGTGTGTGTCAGGGCAATGATCAAGGGCGAATTAGTAAAATACAGGGCATATTAGTGGTCAAGCACTTAAGAAACAAAAGGAGCGAAGGGCTACAAATGTGTGTATGGGAGCCGAGATGGTAGGTCGAGGGGTCAGGGAAGGCCCGAGTTATATCTGAAGAAGACCTAAAGAGAGAGCCACGTGGGTCTCTGGTGGAAAGGCATTCCAGGGAGGGTGAAGAGCAAATGCAAAGGCCTCCAGGTTGCAGACAGCCTGGTGTATGTCGACGCTTCATTTGCTCACCCCGTTCCTGTCACCTTGAAAGGCCAGCATGGCAGGAACCGTGGGAGCAAACAAGAAGTGGTAGATCAGAGAAGAGGAGAGCCCTATCAAATCGTTACCAAATCAAATACATATAAAGTACATATTTGTAAATACTTGTAGATATATGGGCAGTCTCTGCGGGAGAATGCCCGGGAAACTGCTAATGGTGGCAGCCTCTGGGCAGAATTGGGCATCTGGGATCTGAGTAAGTCCCCTACATCTTTTCACTAGACTTCCTGTTTTGAAAATTTCACCACGTTGAAGTTCTTTCTTACAGCCAATGCATTACATAAGCTTCTAGTTTCTCAAAGTCCCTGGGCATCCATGAGGGTCCTCTGCTTAGAGCCCTTCCTCCTCATAGGCAGATATTTCAGAAGATTCCTCCCCAGGGCCACTGTCCTTCAATACAAGAATCATCTCTGCTTATCTGAATGTGCTCCGGGTAAGTCTGTCTCTCAACCATTTGAGTGGTCTTGAGGAAACACCAATCCAGCCACAACCTGGTGCTCTAGCTAGTTATGCTGACCAGTCTGGTGGATGATATTCTGGACTACCATTGTGTGGCAATTTCTCTGGGAGCAGCAAGAAAATTTGGCCTACTTAAAGGACTTTCTAATCATCACCATAACATTTAAGAGGAGGCCCAGAACAGAGGGAGAAATTACACATTGTGCAGAAAACTGCTTATTAGGGGCTCCTGGGTGGCTCACTCGGTTAAGCATCTGCCTTCAGCTCAGGTCATGATCCCAGGGTCCTGGGATCGAGCCCCGCATCCGGTTCTCTGCTCAGTGGGGAACCTGCTTCTCCTTCTTCCTCTGCCTGCTGCTCGCCTACTTGTGCTGTCAAATTAATAAATCTTAAAAAAAAAAAAAAATCCTTATTAGATATTAAAAATTTATCATTAATTTCTTAGATGTAATAATGGTAGTGTAACTATGTGTAAAATAAACCTGTAACTCTAAGAGACACATATACTTCCTTATTTCTGCATAACATATGATCCCCAGAATTGCTTTAAAATCACCTAGAGGGGGAGGGAATAATTAGAGGTGAAACTGGTCATTTGTTGGTAACTGTTCAAGCTAGGTGATGGGTATATAGGAATTTTTATTATACTATTTTCATGTGGTTCAAAAATTACATAAAAGTTTTTTGAAATTGTAGAGATAATAAAGGGGCACATACAGATAAATTTTAGCACATCCAAGGGCTTGAGGCTATTTTGTATCACTCACTCTATTGTCTGGTATAGAGAAGGTGGTCAGTTTAATAACATAAAACTTAAACAAAACAGAAAAAACCAGTCACCTTGAAGCCCCTCTTACTGGTCAAGGTATTGATTCCCACCACAGCTTCTTGCCCGATCACCTGGCTCTTTTACACATACACAGTCTTACACTTTTCCAACGAGTATTTATTATTAGTTAAGCCATGATTCAGAATCCCAGGGTGGGGATCACCATGCACCCAGGTCCCCCTTCACCTCCCTGGGAGAAGGAGGGAGGACAGAGGAGAGGTGGGTGAAGCCAGTTCAGATCTTCCCAGGAAATGTGCCTTCTGCCCGCCGGTCGTCCCAGGCTGATACCTGTGGAAAGACAGCCAGTGTTACCCCCTTCCGCTGTGGGGAAACCAGATGGGTGAACTCTGTCTTCCTCACTTTGCCCACCTGTTCAGTCTGTCAACAAGGAAGCCCAGTACTGCCACTGTTCCAGGAGCGGGGGAATCAGTAGTGACCCAGAAAGACAAGAATTACTGTCCAGAATGAACTGAGCCACTGAGGGGGTAGGGGGTTGGGGGGGGCGAGTAACAGGCAGAAAAATCCCACTTCACTGCAGGGCTGTCCCTGGGGAGACACAGGACAGAGATTCAAGAGTGTGTGGCTGTGCCCTGTTTCAGGAACCCCAGAGTCAACATTCAATGATGTACGGCAGAAGAGAGGAAAGAAAAAATACTAGACAGCTGTGAGGGGGGGAAAAAAAAAGAGGCTGATCTATGCTCTGGCATGAATAGATCTCCAAGATATACAGTAAAGTGCAAAAAGATGCAAAACTGAATAGAGTGTAATCCTACTGTTGATCACAGATGTATGCATACATATAAACAATGATGGAAAGGCCCATATCCAACCGTTAACATTCCCCAGAAGTTAACACTCTGCAACTTGTGGACCTTCCTATAGGCAGCCAGAAGCATATCCATTTAGACACACCCACTCACATTTATATGCCATGTATTAGAGGCAGTGGACAAAAGCACGGATAAGGAAGAATGACTCTGAACCCCTGCCCCACCACTTCCTAGCTGTGTGACCTTGGGCAAATTTCTCAACCTTTCAGGGCCTGAGTTTTTAATCATGTAAAATGAGGATAGTGATAATAGTATCCATCTCATCCCGTTTTTTAGCATGTTTGCCCTCATAAGATATAAAGTGCTTACAAAGCAGCTGGCCCACGGTTAAGTGCCTATTTACACACATATATACAGACATGCACACACACAGACCATATCACGAATTCTACTTTTGAAAAACATATATATAAACTGGGCCACACTATATAGATTATCCTGCAACTTGCCTTTTCCCCAAGTCTTAGAGTGCTTTCTGTATTCTGTCACATAGGTCAAGATCCCAGGGTCCTGGGATCGAGCCCTGCGTCAGGCTCCCTGCTTCTCCCTCTCCCACTCCCCCTGCTTGTGTTCCCTCTCTCTGTCAAATAAATAAATAACATCTTTAAAAAAATGTACCATCATTTATCTAACTTGGGTTGTTTCTGAATGCTCCTCATTACAAACAACTCTGCTATGGACACATCCTTGTATACAAGCATCTTTGTAGGATGACTATATGTAAAACTGCCACATCTGGAGAGGTTTTTTTTCCATTTTGACAGATCCTGCCAAAATGACCTCAATTTATAGTACCACTAACATTTAGCACAGTCAACCTTTATAATTCTTGCACCAGACTGCAAGGTAGAATTGAGCATCTCTGCTGTTTGAGTTGTGTTGTCCTGATGACTTGAATGGGGATGGACATCTTTTCAAAAATGCCTGGATTCCCCCGCACTGGACTTGTACTGTCCATAGTCCACAGTTATCTATGTGTGAAATTTCTCATTCGCTGGATTTACCTCTCTGTCTCTTTTTAAAGAGTCAGGCTGGTCTGATCCAAATTTCCCTTTGCCCAATAATCCCACTTCATGGAATGGAAACTCTAGAAACCATTCAAATAGAGGGGAAAATATTTCTTTTTTAAAAAAAAGATTTTATTTATTTATTTGAGAGAGAGAGACACAGCGAGAGAGGGAACACAAGCAGGGAGGAGTGGGGGAGGGAGAGCAGGCTTCCCGCTGAGCAGGGAGACCGACTCGGGGCTCGATTCCAGGACCCCAGGACCATGACCTGAGCCGAAGGCAGACGCTTAACGACTGAGCCATCCAGGCGCCCCGGGGAACACATTTCTTGCAATGAAATTGTACACTGCAGTGTCATTTAAAAAAGTGAAAAAAAGGGGCGCCTGCGTGGTTCAGTCAGTTAAGTGTTCGACTCTTGGTTTTAACTCAGGTCATGATCCCAGGGTCCTGGGATCAAGCCTCCCATCAGGCTCCCTGCTAGGAGCTAAGCAGGGAGTTGGTTTCTACCTCTGCCCCTCCCCCTGCTCATGTTCTCGCTCTCTCAAATAAATAAAATCTTAAAAAAGGGCGCCTGGGTGGCTCAGTTGGTTAAGCGACTGCCTTCGGCTCAGGTCATGATCCTGGAGTCCCGGGATCGCGTCCCACATCGGGCTCTCTGCTCAGCAGGGAGTCTGCTTCTCCCTCTGACCCTCTTCCCTCTCGTGCTGTCTCTCATTCTCTCTCTCTCAAATAAATAAATAAATAAAATCTTAAAAAAATTTTTTTTTATTCTTACTTCACCAAGTTTTTGAAATAAAGAAGCCAGGGCAGCCAGTATAAAGGGGGCTTTGCAGAATACATTTATAAGCCCTAACAAAGGGGACATTACTGGCACCTGAGGGTAGGAACCACACAATCTGATGCTCCCAAGGTGAGGGCAGACCCAGGTCACAGAGAATGGGGTGTAGGGCCAGCACTGGGACTGGAAGCATGCTTCCTGGCACCCTGTCTAGCACAAACCTGATGCAGGCTCTGAGGCTGGAGGAGGGATGCTATGTACTTACAACAGGTTACTCAAGATCACCCAGGGATAAGGGGAAATCCTGGAAGGGCACAGGGCACTCAAAGACACTTGAGACAGTGTGGCTGGGGGGGGGTGGTGGAAAGGAAAACCAGGCAAGCTGAGGGAGACTGCATTAAGGCAATCTGTTCTCAAGAAATAAGCCCCAAAGGCATACATCAAGGATGCTTCAAATATACTGAAAAAAATAGAACATCATCTCCATCAAAAGCGAATCAGTTAAATAAAAGCATATGAAAGTTACTAAAACAAGTAAGGCAGACCTATATGCATTATTGTAAGAAAGGCTTCAAGACACACTGATAAGTCAAAGTAGTCAAAGACTATAGAGTATGACCCACCCATACACAGAAAGCTCCACAGGTCTCTGTATGATTAATTTATACAGAGAAAAAAGCTAACAGGAGTTACCTCAGGGAAGGGGAGCCGGGGAGCACAAGAGGGCTCCTACTTTTATTTTACTGTACTGCTTACTTCTTTTTTTTTTTAAGACTTATTTATTTGAAAGAGAGACAGCAAGAGAGCCCGCCTGAATGGGAGGAAGGGGAGAGGGAGAGAAAGAATCTCTAGCAGATTCCCTGCTGAGCGCATGTCTGGGCTCCATCTCATGACCCTGAGATCATGACCTGATCCGAAATCAAGAGTCGGATGCTTAACTGATCGAGCCACCCAGGCGCCCCTGTTTTTTGTTTTTTAAATGAGTACTATGCCTTGTAGTAGAATCATATTTTGATTCTAAGACACAAGGGCTTTACATTTTAACATCTCTGAAATTAGCATGCTGGTTACGTTCACTTCCGGCATTTTATTTGACCATCTCTCCATGTTTCTTATAGTCAGTGGGATCTTTACTTTGAAGAAACAGTACAATGTTAAACATAAATTCCTTATTTGAAAAAGTGTATGACAGAGTATTAAATGGTGACAAAAGCTCTGGTCAGATCAGGGCTAAACTAACTGCCTTATTGGGTCTGCGTCTTCTAGAGATGCACACTGAAGTAGGTAGGGATGAAAACACATGCTTGGGATTTGCTTCAGAACACTTGAGCAAAGAAGAAAAGGGGACAGATGAAGGGAATGTGGAACAATCTTGAAACTATTCAGTTTGGGTAGTGGGTATAATTGGGGGTCACTGAATCATTCTATTTTTATGTATAATCTGAAAATGTGCATAATAAAAAGGCAGAGAACTGCACAAGATGGTGAGCCCCACAGGGACGGGGAGCCGGCACTGTGTATATATTTGTGGAGTGCATGGGCGAGAGGGACGTGGTGAGGAGAGGGCCCCGGTCGCCCTGGCTGAGAGCCTTGACTGGTTGAGAGTACCGGTGAAAGGAGAGAAGGGAGGCAATTCCAGAAAGACGACAAGGCCGAGTCCCAGGGATGGTGCAATGTCCTGTCCTCCCTCTGCCTCTCCCAGATGAACCCCCTCCAAGCTACTATACTTCTCTCTGCTAAGACCCCACCCCAGCGTCCCAAGGGCCCCAGGAGGTGGCACGTACCCAGGATATGGGGCAGAGGGACTTGTACACACGACGGTACCATTCGCACACGGAGACATCACCCCCTTTAGCAGTCATTGCCTTCTCACAGCGGTGGAAGTCTGTGGAGAGAGTGGTTCAGGGTCAGCCCGGGCCAAGGGCTGGAACACATTTATCAAAACTTGCAGAAATTGGCTTTACTTCACAACCAGTTACATAGACACATACACCCACAAAACAAGGAATGTCTATTTCTACAGATGTACCAAAAAGGGCTAGACAGGCCTTGCTAAGTTGATTTTGTAACCCCTAGACAACTACTGTTTGACTTGAAAATTCTGGGGTCTGGAATGAGGCGGCAACATGAGGGGCATATGTGGGGATTATGAAGTCCAAAACCAGGGCAAGGGAAGGGGAAGATGATCTTGGGGCTAAGATGCTGGCATCCTACAGAGGAGGACAGGAGGGGGATAATCTTTTTTTTAAGTAGGCAATTAATTAAAAAAAAGAAAATTACTCCAGGTATTCCACTCCTGGGCACATGCTCTACACAGAAAAGCATTCGCATGGACATCAAATTACATTTAAGAGAACATTTATAGCATAGTCATTCATAAAAGCCCCAAACTGGAAAGCACACAAGTGTCTGGGAATACATTATGGAAAACTGCACACAATGAAAATGAGCAAACTACACACCACAGCAAGGATGAATCTTCACAACTGCTGAATGAAGAAACCCAAACAAAAGAGAATATATACAATATTTGTCAAGTTCATCAAGAGGCAAACCTAAAAGCAGTGATAAAACCAAAATGTGACTGCCTTAAGCTGACAGGGTAGCATCTCTGGTGCAGAGAGTAGGATGTTGTGTTTACGACAGGGCATGCAGAAGGCAAAGAAGCTCAGAATGCTGACAGGATCTAATTTTCTATCCAGGTTATAGTTACACAGGGGATTCACTTAAGTATTATTCATTTAGCTGTATATTTTATGTATTTCCTGTATGTATGTTAACATCTGTCTCATACACACACAAATAAATCTTAAAATATATATATATATATCATTGTAGGAACCAAAGTTTGTGACCCTGGCCCAGATCTTGGATCTTGAACACAGCTGTGATGAGGGGCATGGGCCTGGCAAGGTAGAATGTTCAGACGGAAAAAAGAGGCCTGGGATGTACAGATCCCCTAGGAGTAGGCAATAGGTAAACACCTTGAAGTGTAGGACCAGGAAGAGGTTCCGCATCCCTTCGCACCCCCCGTGCCCTGCTTACCCAGGTAGTTCTGCCAGCAGTTCCTGGTCTGGTTCTGGTTGGGGAAGCGGCTGTCAAAAGGGGCGGTCTGGTAGTTCTTGATTTTGGTCTTGATGTCTTCTTCTGCCATGGTGCTGATTCTTGGGAGGCAAAGAGAGTGGATGTTGGCAAAAGTTCTAGGGGGCCTGGGCATGGGGATGTCGGCCCACCCAGACACAGGAGAATGGAGTAGGTAGGTGTGAACAAGCCACCACTTTCTCCCTCTCAACATACACACACAGAGGTGAAGGGTGGGGCAAACCCATACATCTAAGTGTGGCAGTTACAGCGGGGCTTGGTGAAGGGGGGTTACTACTTAGCAAAATCAGGTCTTATTTATTCCAAAATAACATCAGCTAACATTCACTGAGTGCTCAGTCAAGACGAAGCACTGTTCTACACTTTACTCCTGCAGCCACTCTAAAAGGTAGGAACTATTGCTATCACTGTTTCACAGACAAGGGACCGGGTGTCTAAGTGACTTCCCAAGGTCATACAAGTGGAGGAGCTGCACCCCATCATCAGCAGAACCTACACTGGAGAGGTTCTTCATCTCTTTGGTGCCATGAACTCCTCAGGGGTCTAATGACCCTCTCTCAGAATATTTTTAAATGCATTAAAAAAAACTGCAGAGGATCACAAAGAACACCAGTTCTATATAGCTGAGGACTTACTGACTACCACAATCTTGAAGTAATCCTAAGTGGAAATGTATTCTGTGACATCTGCAACCATAATGTGATATAAGATGACCTGTGATTTTGATTGCTAATATTACTAGGGTTGTTGCCTCCAGTTCTAACTGAAGGAAATGCTACATTTCAATTACAGATTAAGAAAAATACAGATGTAGGGCGCCTGGGTGGCTCAGTTGGCTGAGTGACTGCCTTCGGCTCAGGTCATGATCCTGGAGTCCCGGAATCGAGTGCTGCATCCCTGCTTCTCCCTCTGACCCTCCACCCTCTCATGCTATCATTCTCTCTCTCTCAATAAATAAATAAAAATCTTTAAAAGAAAAATACAGATGTAATTTCTTCCCCATTCAAGTCCTAGCACACCTTGCATTTTATTGATTTTGCAGACCCAGAGTTAAAAACCTGTTATAAAGTCTTTTAGGAGGTGACACGCAGTTTTCACCTGGGAATGTGAAACTGCCTTTATCCTAGAGAATTCGAAGAATAATGGGGTTACAAAGAAGTGATCAGGCCAGTGTTAAATTCAAGAGATCCAAGGTAGTGGTGGGGATCTGGGGAACCACAGCGTTGTCTCTGGGGGAAAAGCGTAGACGGGTGTAGGGAGGGGGACGTAGAATACCATCGCTGGGACCCAGAAGATTTGTTCGGGGCAGTTGTTTTGCGGGGGGGGGGGGGGGGTTTAGGGGTGACTCTGAGGCCTCTCCAATGTCCAAGCGGGAGGGAGGACCAGAAACTAGGGAGCCTGCGACCCGGGCAAGCCACGGGAGGCCACGCCTGCGGCCTGGTGACTGAGGGCACTACAGTCCAAACTACAGAATCCAAACCCTGACACTGGCTAAGTAGCTTAATATCGCTGAGCTTCAGCTGCGCCACTGTCACAAAAGGATCATTACAGTCCCTACCTCATAGGACTGGAGGGAAAACAAAATGAATTAATAAAGTCACTTGAAATGTTACCTGGCATTAAAGAAGAGCTACATAATCGTTAGCTAGAGGACTACTAACAGAACAGAACCCCAGGGACCAGGGAGGCCGGACGCCGCGGGCTAGAAACTCACTTTGTTCTCGGGAAAACTAGAGTCCGGTTCCTCAATTCCCCAGGATAGGGTCCCAGCTATCCAAGCCCTCGACACTCACCTAAACACACCACAGCAGCACCTCGCAGCTCAATGTGACCCTCAGCAGAAACGCCAGAGCCGGACCGGAAGCGGAATTAAGACCGGCCGGAAGTGGGGAGAAGCCGAGTAAAGGGGAGTCTTCCGCGTGGCTAGAGCGCCCTCGGGGAGGCCGTCCGCGAAGCCATTAAGGCCACGCCCATCCGGGCGAACTCCGGACTCCTATTGGGCTGAATGCCTGTTCATCATCACTCTCGGCCCAATCGTGAGCTTGCGTGGCACTTCGAAGCTCCATGGGGGGCTTGAGACGCTGGTTACCGGTTCTTATCACCTTCCTGTTTTTACCTAGGGGAAGGAGTTTTGTTTCTTGGGGCTAGTTGTGGAGTGGGCCTGGGGAAAATATCCCAGCAAAAGTATCCTTATTCATGCAAGAATTACTTATTGAACGCTTACCCTGTGCCAGGTACTTCTATAAGGCTTGGGGAAGCATCACTGAACAAAACACAAGAATCCTTACCCTCTTTATGCTTATTACGGTATCAATTGTTAGGGGTTTGAAATCGAACCAGTTTTTCTCCCAGGGTCATTTGCCACATTATGAGGAATACCCAGACTCCACTCCCTGTTCATTATCTTCTTTCCCCAGGCCTCAGAAGGCACAAATTAACACAGATACGGGTTCCTGAGGACTCAAAGTCCTGCATCGTAGGAGGGGTTAAGAATAAAAGCTTGGGTCTGGCAGAAATTAGTCAATCTCGGAAAGTGACACATCTATGCTTCTAGTCACAGAGGTTGCTCTGACTCTCATACCCCACAGCTGATCTATCAAGAAATCCTGTTGGCTCTGCCTTAGCAATATATCCAGAATTTTCTCCGACATCTGGTTCAAGTCACAGGCACCTCTAGCCTGGGCTATTGCAGTAGTCCACTCCCTGGCCTCCTGGCTTCCCCACTGCCCTCCCCAATCATCCACTCAGCCAGAGGAGACCCTGTTAACACCTCAGTCAGATCACTTCCCTTTGGTCTAGAACCCTCCCCTTGGGTCTTGTCCGACTCTCTCAGTCAAAAGCCAAAGTCCTTACAAATGATCTACACAGTTTTGTCTCTCTTATACCCTCATTTCCTATCCTTCCTATCCTTCCTCCCACTGCCCCAGCCACACAGGCCTCCTCCTGCTTAAACATGCAGGCTGACTTCCCTCTAAGGGCCTTTGCTGTCCCCTTGGTCTGCAGTGCTCTTCCTGAAGCTGGCTCCCTCCCTCACCTCCTTCAGGTCACCTTGGTTAGTCCTTCCCAGACCAGATATTTAAAATGGGCATCTTGTCAGTCCATGGAAGGACCATTCTTCTTTAGGGGCTCAGTGGTTCCCAGAATGGTGTAGGCTCTCCTTGGGGTCTAGATCGCAGTTCTATCACCCTCAGCTTGGAGTGGGAAGACGGGAGGTGGTTTGGGGGATCAAACCCTAGGCTGAATTTTCCTTAGGAAAAGCACTGGAAGGACACACATTAAATCGTTTTTTGGAGTCTTGAGTCCTCTCTTCAGGGGGGACACGGTAGGTAAACTGGAAGTTAGTGATTGGGTCTGATTCCTTTACAAGTCCCAGCACGGACAGGCACACAGTAGGCCCTGGAGGGACTGAGATGATTCCTCTGAAGGTCCCATCACACAGTGAGCACACACAAGTAGGTCCCCTAAGGGTCTGGGTGTGTCTTAGGATCACACAGGCGGGGGTGGGGGTGGGGGTGGGATGTGAGTGTGGTGGTGCACACTTAGGGTCCCTAGCGGGTTTAGTCAGTATCCGTGGGAAGGACGCAGGCAGCACTCACGACTAGTTTGATGGGATTTTTTATTGGGTCGCTCCTCCCGGTCCACCCCCCGCGCAGTCCGGACAGGCCAGGCCGGGCACGCGGCCCCCGAAACGGTACGTGTACTTGCGCCCACCGCTCTTGCGCACTATGTCGCGGCGGTAGTAGTAGCGTAGGCCTCGGCTCAGTTTCTCGTAGTTCATGCCGGGTTTCCTCTTGCGCTCACCCCACAGCCGCGCCACCTAGGACAGAGGCCCGGCTTAGTCTGAGAGGGCAGGAGGGAGCGGGGCTTGGCCACGGACGGGCGGGGCGGGGGGCGCGGTTTCGGGTACGATCTGGTTGCGAGTTAGTCCAGGTAGCTCCCTGCAGGGTTGAGAGGAGTACGAGCTGGGGGCGGGGCCAACTACTAGGCAAACGGAATGGCCCGGCTAAATTGAACGGGAGGAGACCGGGGCGGGACTCGGCGCGTCTGGGAGGCTCCCGCACCTCTCTGGGGTCACACAGCTGGAACTCGCGGTTGTTGCCAGTCCAGCGGATGCAGTTGCTACGCTCCCCGTCTCGGAGCAGCTCCAGGAGGAACTGCCACAGCTGAATGGGACCTGCAGAGTGCAGGCAGGTGAACACTCAGGATTCCTAGCCCCAGACCCTGTCCCTTCGACGACCCAGCTGTCCGGGCTCCCTCGCTTCGAAGGTCCAAGGGTCCAGGTCCTCCCAACTCGGGGCCCAGAAGTCCAGATCCCCTCCTCCTCGGGGCCCCAAGTGTCCGGATCCCTCCATATAACGAACCCAAGAATCGGCCTCAGGGACCCACGCAGCCGAGGCCCCCATCTCGGAAACTTGGAGGCGTTTGGCTGCCACACCTTGGTGACCCAGGCATCCAGACCCTCACCTCTTTCCTCTCACCTAATCCAGGAGCCTAGGTTCTGGTCTCCTGTTCCCTATTAGACTACCAGTCTAAGTCCTCTCCTCCCTCAGGACCCCCCCTCACCGCCTCTCTCGGACTCTTAGGTAACTAAGCCCCGCACCTTCCCGGCCAGTTTCCCGGGTCCCGCCCTAACGCGCCTAGGCCCCGCTTCACTAGAGTCCGGTCCTGCGGACTTCTCACCTCGGTGGTTATTTTTGGGGTAACAAGCCACGGTTACGCCGCCCGACTGCTGGCTTGGTTCGGAGGACGTGGTGAGATCTGAAGTCTGGTACCCCTTTGAAGAGGTGTTGCAGTCCGTTTGCAGCCCCGAGACCCAGGAGGTGGTATAGTCTGAGCCCGCAGGCCCACCCAACGAAATGGTAGAGTCCGCGCTCGGCTCCCCGCGGAGGCCCTTGCCCCAGTAGGTGGGGCCGTCGAGGCCAATAGAACAGTCCCAGTTGGCGGAGGAGCTGGCGGCGGCCTGGGCGCGGGACCACGAGTTGGTCCCTCCCCCGGAGGTGGTACAGTTCTGGTCCGCGGCCCCCGCAGCACCAGCTAAGGGGGCGGGACCCAGGCCGGGAGGGGCGGGGCCCAGGGCCTGGGAGACGCCGCTCGAAGGGTCCGAGCCCGTGCACGCCAAGTCTGTCCAGTCTCCCGACCACCGAAGAGCCTGCGGGGCGGGCTCTGTGAGGAGTAACAGACCCCAAGTGAGGGGAGCACAGGTGTCCCGGTCCCCGGCCCCCTCAGGGGTTCTTGGGAGTCTAAGCTCTCAGCCCTGGCGCCCTGGGCTCCCGGATCTAGGCCATGCCATCTTAAGGACACAGGGGTTCCGGTCCTAGCCCCGTTCCCCTCAAAGATCAAAGAGTTTAAACCTCTAGCTACGGTGGAGGACCCCAGTCCCCTCTTTACCCCGCCTCTGCGCACACACTCACCCGCCCCCCATGGAGCTTCTGGGTGCGGTAACGCGGAGCCCCAGTCCGGCTGTGGGAGCCCTGTGAGGGATAAGAACGAGCAGAGTTTAGGGAAGGGTGTGAGCAATGACTAGAGACGCCCCCTCGACCACTCAGCCAGCAGCCTTTATTTGTCAGGGACTGAGTTATTGCCCCCAGCCCCTACTCACTCACACCTAGAACTCAGGACCCTGGCCTCGTCCTCTTTCAACCTCAGGACTTCAGGCCGGCAGCCCTCTCCCCCCTCCGCCTCCGGAGTCCAGGCACGCCCCCTTCCTCCCTCAGCTCCCAGGAGTCCCAGCCCACAGCCACCTTTCCAGCGTGTCTCCGCTATTAGCGTGTCCCCGGGGAGCGCCAGTTCGGGGAAATAGAAGCCGAGTTCAGCTCCTTCTGCAGGCAATGAGGCGGTTAGGGCCGAGTCGGGGTCAGCGGAGGCCCCCACCTGTGCACCCTCCCCTCGCATGGACTCCGCCCCAGCAGCCTACCCAGCCCTGACAGCCCGTTCCCTGGGGGCACTTCCTGTGGAGACGCTTCATCCCAGTTCCAGAAGTCCATGGATGCTCCTTGTGAATGTTCTGGGCAGGGAGAAAAAAGGGAGTAAGCGGTGAGCCGGTGACACTTAGGGACCCTGGAGTCTGGGCCCCAGCCCTTGCTTCCCTCAGACCCAGGAGTCCACGCCTTTTGCTCCCTCCTTCCGCAGGACCCTGGAATCTTGGCCTCCAGTGTCCCTTTTCTCAGACTAGGAGTAAGGGACCTCAGCCCTCTCCTCCCTCAGACCCAGGAGTCCAGGCCCCCAGACATCCAGTCCCCAGCTCATGGCTCACCTCTGGCGGGTTTCTCTGTCCCCGACCAGGGGTCTCAGCCCCATTTCATACCATGTACCCCCTCCCCTGGGGGCCTGGGCAGGGGGGAATTTTCCGAGACGTCAGAGCCGGGGGTCGCAGCGGGGTCGAGTTGCAGGGCCCGGGGCGGGGCCAAGGGCCCCCCGCCCACCCCCCACCCCCCACACCTCAGGGATGGCCGCCTGCCTCCTGATAGCTACAGCTGTCCTGCTGCAGGGGTGGCTTGGACTTGGGACAGGAGCTTGGGGAACGGCGGGCTGTGAGAGACCCCGGGTGCGGAGGCGTGTTTACGGGGTGATGGGGGTGGAGCGGGGGGTTGGGTGGCCAGGTTTTCCGTCTTGGGGACTTGATCCTGCGACATGGGGGGTAGGGGGGAGGGTCTGGGGTCAGCTGGGCTGCGCCAGGCTTATCTGCAACAGGAAGGGGGATTTCCGGCCAGACCCCAGGTCCGCCAACGTCACAATCTGTAGGGGGACTGCGAGGCGGGGTGGAGGAATATGGTTGGGGGAGGCCAACCTAGGATCCCCCTCGAGGGCTTTGAGGACGTTCTGGGGCTGCTCTTGAGGAGTGTCAATCATGATAACACACCAACAATGTAAACAATAACCAGAGTAATTCTAATAGCTAACAGTTATTGAGGGCTCACTGCATGCCACCAACTGTACCAGGGGGCTTCATTTAATCCTTTTCTGAAGTAAGTACTAGTCTTCATTTTATGAAAAGGGAAATTGAAGCAGACTTCCCTTCACTTCTCTTCATCTCTAGAATCCTATGCTATAATAGTTTGAGACAAATGGGGGAAATTTGAGTATGAATTGAATATGAGATATAGAATTATTCATTTTCTTAGATGTGATTATGGTATGAAAGCTGTCTCTATAAGGAAATGAACACATATTTGGGGGTGAAGTATTACTTGCTTCAAATGATTCAGCAAAAAACCCAACCCACCTGTATACATGTAACATATACATACATGCAATAGTTGGGACATAATTATACTCAGAAATTATTTATCCGAAACTTCAAATATAACCTAGGTCTCCTGTATTTTTTTTTTTAAAGTTTTGTTTATTTATTGGAGAGAGAAAGAGAGAGAATGCGATCAGGGGGAGGGGCAGAGGAAGAGGGGGAGAGAGAAGCAGAATCCCCACTGAGCACTTGAGTGCAGAGCCCAAAGCCCAACTGGGGGCTCGATCTCACACCCCTGAGACCATGACCTGAGCCAAAATCAAGAGTTGATGCTTAACTGACTGAGCCACCCGGGTGCCCCTGTCCTGTATTTTTATTTCCTAAATCTGGTAACCCTAAACCTAGGTAGCTTGGCTTCAGAGCCTGTGGTTGTACCCATCCTGCTGCATGTATTAGTAAGTATTTACCATTAAAAAGAAACTCTTTGATATGGGCATTTTCCAGTATTCACCCTGCCTGACCATTAACCACTGCCATTCTGAGGGTGGGAGGACCGGGGTGTGGGCACTGCTCTTCTGTTCATGTTACATTAGGGAAACTGGGCCTTAGGAGGGAGAGCCACTTAATGGGTCACAGAGTGGGCAAGTGGGGAGTGCTGGGATTGGTCTCAGCATTGGGGGAGCAAGGAGCCCCCAGGCATCACTGCTCCACCATCCATCCAACCCAGGGGCCTGCAGGGTGTCCTGCTGATCCCCACCAGGCACCAGGCCTCCTCTCCCTGAAGCTGGCCTTTCTCCTGTGTGTGTCTGTCTGTCCATGGCTCTCTGCCCAAGTCAGGGTCCCTGGCTCTGGGTCTCTGTTGCACCAGGCCTGACTCCAGTGAGGCCTCGTGAGGCCAGGTCACCCAGTCTCACCCTCCCCATCTCTCTCCCTACTTCCTTCTCTCTCTGTCCCCATTTCTCTCTTTGGGTTTTCTCCCCATGTCCCTTCCCACTGTACTGCCTTCGCCTGCAGTTCTCACCTCTCCTTCTTTGTCCCCCCCCCGTCTCTCCATCTCCCGCCAGCTACATCTCTTCATCTCTTGCCATCTGTCTCTCAACCCCACCGTTGAGCTTTCTCTCCCTTTCCTCAGGAGGACTTAAATGCACACATTTAAAAGCTTCCTTTCGGAGATAAACCGTAAGAGACTCTTAATCATAGGAAACAAACTGAAGGGTTGCTGGAGTGGAGGGGGGTGGGGGCGATGGGGTAACTGAATGATGGACGTTAAGAAGGGCACATGATGTAATGAGCCCTGGGTGTTATATAAGACTGATGAATCACTGACCTCTACCTCTGAGACCAATAATACATTATATGTTAATTAATTGAATTTAAATTAAAAAAAAAAAAGCTTCCTTCCTGCAATCATTCCCTCTTCCCATCTCCTCCCTTGTTCCTCTGACTGAAGTGAGCAGAAGGGGGTTGGAGCAGGAAGGGCTAGTGATGTGGGGGGGGAGGGATTGAGGGTCTTGGGGCTGGGTTGTCTAGCCCAGGTGGCAGGGGGCTGAAGGGCACTTCCTGCGAGGGAGGGAGGCCCTCACCCTTCTAACCAGACTGGAAAATGTGACGTCAGAGAGGGAGCAGTAAGGGAGGAAGGCGGGAACAGAGGAAATTTGACACCTCTCCTGGGTGACCAGCTTCCCAGAGAGGTCTTGGCATTGTTTCCTTCCTCCTCCCATGCCCCCTCTCAACCCAGGGTTCTGCTGGCTCTGCCCCTTGGAGACCCTCATCCCCTCCCCACGGCTTGAACCACGCAGTCTCTCTCCTCTGCCTGGTCCCCGCTCCTGCCTCCTTCAGGCCTCTAGTCCACAGCATGGCCGTGTTAGGGCTCCTTCTAAAGTGCAAATCTAATGCCAGTCCCCTGTTTGAACTTGGTTCCAGCTTCTCAGGGCTTACTGCTGCCTTCAGGGTAAAGTCTAAACTCTTAGTCTAGTGTTCAAGATCCTGCTTGGACACTTCTTCAGACAGGCAGTGTCAAGCTTGGGGCTGGGAAAAAGAGAGGCGGGAGAGATCCATAGATGCAGAGAGAGAATAGAGACTCAGAGACAAGAAACAGAGGGGCACTCACAGAGACACTCACAAGGAAACAAGACACAGAGAAGCACTCGGGGGGGTCCACACAGACATAAGGCGAGAGAATGCGGCTGGGGTTTGGCAGAGAGAAGAAACTGGGAAACAGTCTCAGAGATGCAGAGGGTGAGAACTGCAGAGACTGGGAGAGAATAACAGGAAGAGCACGAGACAGACTCAGAAGTGGTCAGTTCCTTCAGGAAGCCCTCCCCAACTCCCAGGTCAGCACCCTGGGCTCCGCCATCCCAACTCTGACCACTCCATGTGGCAACGGGCCTGTCTGCCGCCACTGGACCAGGAGCTCTGAGGGAACAGAATCCAGGACTGTTTCAGTCACCATGCCCCCAGCACTGGCGAGGCCTTCGGTGAGTTTGCTGCATGGATGAAAGCCTGGAAGGCTGTGACCTCCAGAAAGGCAGGGCCCAGAAGACTCCCTACCTTGGTACTGAGAATACAGGATGGAGTCAGAAGATAACTGGACTGAGTCTCGACTTGGTTTTGGCCTGGCTGTAAGCCTCTGCTTTCTCCTCTGTGGAATGGGCTGCACTCAGCATGCACGTAAAAGAGGCTTCAGGAAGATGTGATGGGTGCACAGCAGGGATGGAAAAAATGCCCATCTGCATGTTTGTCTATGTAAACTTTTAAAGCTCCACACTATTCACTATTCCCAGATCGAGGGATGCCAAGCCCTGTTCCCCAAAGAGTGCTTCCAAGCCCAGCCAGGGACGGAAATAATGTAAATTTATTGAAACTGGTTTTGGGGAAGGTGGGTGGGTGGATAGTTGGGGATCTTCCAAAGAGAACTGGGAGAAGAGCCAGCGCCCGGCCAGGAGGGAGCGGGTGCCCGGCCACAGACCCTATCTCAGGCCCAGTTTCTTCTTCTCCTTCTGCTTCTTGCGTACCACATCCAGGTTCCGGTCCTTCCACATACTCTTGCGCAGCTTGATGGGGCGTGAGCCCACATACTTCCCTGTGGGAATGGAGGGTTCAAGGTCAGGCTAGGGGTCAGGCTTAGGCTAGACGCTGGTCACACCCACGGTCCCTGAGAGAGGCCTCACCCACCGTTCATCTCACGCATGGCGCGCACGTAGTCGCTGGGGTCCTTAAAGCTGACAAAGCCATAGCCCTTGGTCTTGCCTGTGCGCTTGTCTCGGATCACCTTAGCCTTAAGGAAGGATGGGAAGCGGCTGAAGGCGCGTGCCAAGATGTCATCATTTACTTCATTGCCCAAATCCCCACAGAAGATCCGGAAGTCATCTGGGGTTGGGAAAGAGGAGGTCAGAAGATACAGAAGTCTGGCCCTGTGTCTACCTTATTTAAATAGCCCCCCTGCTCTGGAGGCATCCCCCAAACCCTCCTCCCTCTGTATCCCCAGCAGTCTCGGGCTGGGGCCCTCTCCGTAATAACAGCCAACATCTGTATGGTATTTACCCTGCGCTAGGCTCTCGGCTAAGTACTCATGAGGTTTTAACACATCTGGAACTCCCAACGGCCCTTTTACCCCGAGGCACAGAGAAGTCATGTTACCTGCCTGAAGTTACTCAACCAGGTAGTGGCCGAGCTAGGACAAGAACTCAGGCACCGGGCTCCAGAGTCCTCACTTTTAACTACCTGCACTGCCTTTCCGCACCCCAGGGCCATCTCGCCCATTGCCATGATGAAGGCTCCTCTGTCCGAGCCCTGGCCTCTCCTCTGAGCCTCTGGCATCCCTTGGTCTCCTGGACAGCTCCCCATAGATATCCCCGAGGCCCCTGACACCCGTTTGCTTTCTCTGCAAAGCCCACCCTACTTCCCCGAAAGATGAACGTGCTGTCTGATCCCTCTCCAAGGCTGACCTCAGCTGCCATTCCCAAGCATATTCCCTGGGCTGGGCCTGAGCCAGACCAAATATACTCAAGCCCAAAGCATCCCTTCCCCAACAAGGCACATGCTATTATTATCCCCTTGCTGGAGTAAGGAAAGGAGGATAGAAAGGCTAAGTGACTTGCCCAAGGTCACAGAACTAGGGTCTACAGCCTGCACTGACCACATCTAGGCTGACACTGCCATGCCCTGGCCTGGGGCAGGTAGACGTCAGGTCCGTTTCCTCAGCTAGCACTGTGGCTGCCCCACGGCTTCTGTGGTGATTAAGGACACTCTCCCAGAACAAGTTAGACCGCCCTCAGAGGAAATGGTCTGATAAACTCAGAGGGAGGGGTCTTCTACAAAACAACTGGGCTGGACACTGCAAAAAACTGTTATACGCAAGACAAAAGTGGTAGGAGGGAGACCATTCTCATTAAAAGATAATCTAGAGGGTGCCTGGGTGGCTCAGTTGGTTAAGCGACTGCCTTCGGCTCAGGT